CTCCGATTCCGCGGCTACCGCCGTTGTTGAGCCCCAGCCTGACACAGCGCGGGGCTCAATCTCCGCGGCGGTCGCCACCATGTCCCGATTGCCGGCCAGCGAATCAATGGACATGAAGGGCTAGCTTGGCGCGCTAGCCGTCGGCGGAGGCTCTTGATGGTGAAGCGGGCACAATGCCCGCACGAACCGGGGGTATCGATAGCTTCCTGGCGTGTTCCAGCCCAAGGCAGGACGAGCAGACCTGGTGTGAGTCCGTGCGCGAGATCTTAAACCCGCAGCCTCCGAGCCGAGCCTCCGAGCCGAGCCTCCGACTCCTCTGGTGTGAGGGAGAGAAGGGTCCATCCTCGTTTGCCGGGGTGTCGGCGCGGAGGGACAAGCTTTTATGTATGTTACCGAAAAAAATCCAACCTTATCGTTATTCCGAAAGGAAAAAACGATGGGGTAGATTTTTCTTTAAAAAATATTAACTGGTGTGTTAATATCTTATCTCCGTCTCCTCTGGTGTGAGGGAGAGAAGAGTCCGTCCTCGCTCGCCGTGGTGTCGGCGCGGAGGGATAAACTAGCAACAGGTATGTTACTGTTTGAAGAAAAAAATCAAACCTTAACATTATTTCGAAAGAAAAAAACGGCGGGGCAGATTACAATATTAACTGGTGTGTTAATATTTGTTCAATTTTTCTGCAAAGCAAAAAAGAAACCGGCAAGCGCCCGTCAACCGAATGTTAGCTTGGGTTCAGTCTGTGGACCGTTAAGCTAGCCCGGCTACTGATATTTCGAAATGTGCTCTGAAGCGAGAAGAGGTGTTTGAATGACGCTGCGACGTAGCGCAAGCTACTTAAAGGGTGGGTGGATTCCCTGACGTAGACGTCAAGATCACCAGCCAATCAGGATTGGCGTAATGAGATTGATGCTTCTGTTTGCATACGCGTTGAGGCGCATCCCATAGTGAGACATCGAACGGAGTGTTATGAATGAGAACACTTGCTAACACACACACATACACGGCAACGCCCACCACCAGCACACACACACACACACACAATGGCAGATGCAAGTATCAGCGAGAGCAGCAGCGCATTTACAACTTGAAGATATAACCACTATTTTCAATTTGTGGGGATAAAGGACGCAAAAAATATTAACGGTCGAATGTAAACTGTGTGCAGGACAGAAAGCATTGTCCACATCGAATAACAGCAATGCCAATCTCCTGAAGCACCTAACTAATGTACATGTGGGGAGTTGTCTTTTCTCTTACGGTGCCACAGAACAACACAAAAACTTGTATTTGTATTGTTATTATTTTTAAAGTAAAGTAACTTGTTACTAGCTACTTTTATAATTTAGTAACTAATAAAGTAACTCGTTTTTTGAGAGCAGTAACTATAACTTACTAGTTACTTTTTAAAAGTAACTTGCCCAACACTGGCTACTGGTCCAGGAGAGTTTCATTTCGCCCATTTCTTTCCACTTTTATTCATTGTGAAGACACAGGTTCTCACCTCTGTCACGAGGAGGAGGCCGAGAAAGAAGCAAATGGTGCAGAGACAAAGCAGCAACAACTCTCGACGGTAAGCTCTTCGAAATACGGTGGGGAACATGTCTGTCACGGAGGTCATCAGGCACTCCAGACTCACAAACTAGAGACACAGAGCACACAAAAAGCTGAAACCAACAACTGTTTTAATAATAAAACGAATTAGAGGATTTAAAACTATCTCACCTGTGTGTCTGCGCCCAACAAGATGACCATGACGAAGAAACATATAGACCACAGCTGAGGGAACGGCATCATGGCCATTGCACGTGGATAAGCAATAAATGCCAAGCCAGGTCCTGTAATTGAGAACAAAGAGAGGAATTATTAATAAATTAAGAATGCTTTTACATAGACAATATTCTTCCTATTGTGTAATCACGCAGAAGATAAAATATGATCAGTTACTATTGTCTTCAAGCCTCCATTTGTGGAGTGTGGACCGCTATTTCCTGCTGATTTTGGCATCTTGTTAATTACAGCAAACTCAGATGTGAGGGAAAATGATGAAAAAAGCATCCATATGTTCCAAATGTTTTCACAAGCAACCTCTTAGATCTCAACCCTGTCTATATAACTCGTTTTAGATGGTGATGCATGTACTGTAACAGAGGTGCTGTATTGGGGATCTTACCAGAAGCTGCCACTTCAGATATTGGCACTCCTTGTTCGTAGGACATGAAGCCCAAAACTGAAAAGATTGCAAACCCTGCCACAAAGCTTGACGCGCCGTTCACCAAACACAGAACAAACGTGTCCCTGAGAAAAACAACAAAACAAAAAAGTATTTAGAATTTTAGATAATGATTGACTCTTTGGTAATTTAGTTTTCTGTTTTATAACTAATGGAATTGTGACATAATGTCACAATGAGAAGAAAACAATAGAGCATGATCTAAAAATCAACAGCGAGCTAAGACAATAAATATTGTTTGGGAAGAAAATGATTCTGTCTTTGTACGTTAATATAACAGATATTCAAATGCATTAATATACAGGAGTGAAATGTAATCGGTTTACCGAGATGCCTTATATTTCTTCAAAGCAAAGGTATGCCAGCATTACAAATCACCTAACCTAGTACTACACTTAATGAAAAAACTGAAACGTTGACTTTAATTAACTCTATTATATAAACAAATGATAACATAATTGTATTAGGTTAGTTGAATTGTATTAAGTTTAACCTTATATTTTGATTTAAACTTAATGTTATTGCTTTTACCTAACCTAATACAATTATGTGTAGTTTGCTGACATAATACATTTAGTTAAAGTCAATGTTATGTCAATTTAGCAGACGTTTTTAGGTCATGATAGTAGGTTTTACAAAAAAAAGAGTAAATATAACTGCTACAATCTCAGGCCTCAGGGATGCGTTAAAAAAATAAAAAGCAGGAGAAACACAGAGAACACTTACTTGTAACAATCATTGTTATACTGATTGTAACTGCCTAGAGCTGTCAAACTCCCCTGACAAATCCCAAAAGAGAAAAGAACTTGTGCACCTGCATCCATCCAAACCTGTAAAAATGGAAGCACAAGCTGTGAGATTGAAGTACTTTAAAGTATTTGTGGGAGGCCACTGAGCTTTCCTTAAAGGTGGGGTAGGTGAGTTTGAGAAACCGGCTCGAGATACACTTTTTGTTATATTCCATGGAATGCTCTTAACATCCCGATAGCAATGAATATCTTTGACAAAAGATCTGTGGAAGCCGTAGTACTGTAAAAAGCACGACCAAGGAAGTGGCAGATTTTTTCCTGCTGTGTATTTTCAAATTCTAGCGCACTCGAGCTGGTTTCTCCAAAATTACCCACCCCACCTTTAATTTTAATGCATGACTTGAAGTAATTACTTACTTGAGGGTCCACCAACCTTTTGGGGTCTGGATACAGGTAGAAAGAAATGCCATCAATAGCTCCTGGTAAAGTGAGTCCACGAGCCAACAAAACCACCAGCATCAGGTACGGAAAAGTGGCTGTGAAGTAGACTACCTGTCAACATGAGACAAAGGCAGGTTTATCATTTAAATAGCGTTTTTAATGACAATTGATTATTTGAAACAATCAAAAAGATGCAACAGGACAGCTACATAACAAACACGAGTCACATAAAAGAAACATGTAAAAGATCTAGGATACATTTGTCGGATATTGTTTCCTGAATGTGCAACGGACACACAATCTGACACACATAAAACCTCTCCCTGTTATAGCTTAAGTTTCAAACAAAGACACCAAACCACCACCAGTATGCTTTGTGTGTTTAATGTTTTTAAGGATTTGTCTTTTTGTTTGTAACCCGTATGCAGTTGGGATTGTTTCTGTTACATTTTGGGGCTTTCTGTCAGTGTTTTTTGGTAGTTTGTGGATAACATGGAGCAAATGTGGTTGTATAGTTTGAAGCCTTTTCCACCTGTTCTCTCTATTTGTTTATGTTGTTAGTCAGAATGTGACTGTTAGTGGCTGACACAGCATAAGTGGTTAGGAAACACAACAATATGAAGAGAGATTTTTTGGTGATATACACTGAACAAAAATATAAATGCAACACTTTTGTTTTTGCTCCCATTTTTCATGAGATGAACTCAAAGATCTAAAACATTTTCTATATACACAAAATAACCATTTCTCTCAAATATTGTTCACAAATCTGAAAAAATCTGTGATAGTGAGCACTTCTCCTTTGCCGAGATAATCCATCCCACCTCACAGGTGTGGCATATCAAGATGCTGATTAGACAGCATGATTATTGCACAGGTGTGCCTTAGGCTGGCCACAATAAAAGGCCACTCTGAAACGTGCAGTTTTGCTTTATTGGGGGGGTCTGGGGGGGTCCGAAAACCAGTCAGTATCTGGTGTGACCACCATTTGCCCCACGCAGTGCAACACATCTCCGTCGCATAGAGTTGATCAGGTTGTTGATTTTGGCTAACATGTCACCCATTTAGCATGTTTGGGATGCTCTGGATCGGCGTATACGACAGTGTGTTCCAGTTCCTGCCAATATCCAGCAACTTCGCACAGCCATTGAAGAGGAGTGGACCAACATTCCACAGTCCACAATCAACAACCTGATCAACTCTATGCGAAGGAGATGTGTTGCACTGCGTGAGGCAAATGGTGCTCACACCAGATACTGACTTGTTTTCGGACCCCCCCAGACCCCCCCAATAAAGCAAAACTGCACGTTTCAGAGCTGCCTTTTATTGTGGCCAGCCTAAGGCACACCTGTGCAATAATCATGCTGTCTAATCAGCATCTTGATATGTCACACCTGTGAGGTAGGATGGATTATCTCGGCAAAGGAGAAGTGCTCACTATCACAGATCTTTTCAGATTTGTGAACAATATTTGAGAGAAATGGTTATTTTGTGTATATAGAAAATGTTTTAGATCTTTGAGTTCATCTCATGAAAAATGGGAACAAAAACAAAAGTGTTGCAGTTATATTTTTGTTCAGTGTATGTTAATTGTTCATGTTACATTACATTACATTGCATTTAGCTGACGCTTTTATCCAAAGCGACTTACAATAAGTGCATTCGACCAGGAAGATACAACCTTGAAGAAAACAGAATCATATAAGTACATCAGGTTTCATAGAGCCAAACATTTCAAGTGC